GGTGGTGGTGGTGGTGATGGTGATGATGATGATGATGATGATGATGCTGATGATGATGCTGCTGCTGCTGATGATGCTGATGATGATGATGATGATGATGATGATGATGATGATGATGATGATGGTGCTGATGCTGGATGTGATGCTGATGACGATGTGATGAGAGTAGGAGGAGGAGGAGGAGGAGGAGGGAGGAGGAGGAGGAGGAGGCGGACCAGGCGGAGGAGGCGAAGGAGGAGGAGGAGGCGGAGGAGGAAGAGACGGAGGATGAGCAGGAGGAGGAGGAGGATGAGCAGGAGGAGGAGGAGGAGGAGGAGGAGGAGGAGGAGGAGGAGGACGAATAATAAGAAACACAACACTACTATTATTATTGTTTTTTATTATTGTTATTATCATTATTATTATCAGTATTATTATCCTTATTATTATTATCATTATTATTAGCATTATTATTAGTTTTATTCGTATTATTATTGTTGTTGTTGTTGTTGTTGTTGTTGTTGTTGTTGTTGTTGTTGTTGTTGTTGTTGTTGTTATTATTATTATTATTATTATTATTATTCTTATTCTTCTTATTATTATTATTATAAGTAGTAGTCATACTAATAATAATCATAATCATGATACTGAAGAATCCCACTCAAACAATACCACTAATAATACTAATCATATGAAGAAGAGGCGGAGGCAAAGGCGGAGGCGGAGACGGAAGCGGAGGAGGAGGGGGAGGCGGTGGGGGAGGAGAGGAGTGAGGAGGAGGCGGAGGAGGGAGGAGGAGGAGAAGATGGCGGCGGAAGCCCAGGCGAGGCGGAGGACGGTGGCGGGAGGAGAGAGAGGAGAGAGGAGGAGCGGGAGGAGAAGGAGGATGAGAAGGAGGAGGAGGATGATGGAGATGGAGGAGGATGGAGGTGGGATGGAGGAGGATGGAGGAAGGATGGAGGAAGCATCGAGGAGGATGGAGGATGGAGGAGGAGGAGGAGGGGAGGAGGAGGGGGTGGGAGGAGAGAGGAGGAGGAGGAGGAGGAGGAGGAGGAGGAGGAGGAGGAGGAGGAGGAGGAGGAGGAGGAGGAGGAGGAGGAGGAGGAGGAGGAGGAGGAGAAGGAGGATGAGGAGGAGGAGGAGGAAGAGGAGTAGGGAGGACGAGACAGTCGGGGAGGAACGGCTTAGAGGGCTACAGTGTTTTCCATCTTGAGGGGATTCAACCTCGATCCTGCATCTCCGTCTTCCGCCATCGCCATTCTCTACCTCCCATCCTCCATCGTCGCTCCGACCCTCCACGATCTCTCCTCGTTGTCCTTCATCCTCAATCCTCTTCCCAAGACCGCCGACGCTGTGTTTTCAAGACTTCGAACCCTGGAGGTCTATACCACGCCCTGTTTACGGATGGTCCTCGAGCCCAGTAAGTAGGCCGCCCGAGAGGCCGAAGCTTGCCGCAGACCTCCTGTCGTGATTTTTTGGTTGGCGACGCGAGGAGGTCTGGGTCAATCCCCCCCTTCTCCGCCTCCTCCTCCTCCTCCTCCTCTACCCCGCCTCCTCCCTTCCTCCTCCTCCCATTCCTGGCCCCGTCCGCTTTTGCTGTCCCCCAGGAGGAGCGTGCCGGACTTTTTTTTATTTGTGGCTTTTGTTTTTTTTTTCTAGTGTGTGGTTTTTTTTTTTTTTTTTTTTTTTTTTTTTTTAGTATTTTTTGTGTTCTTTCTTTACTTTTTTATGGTTTTTTATTTTTGTTGTTATTTGTATATTTATTACTTTTTTTTTTTTTTATATTTTTTGTTGTCTTTTTTTTGGATTTTGTGTTTGTTTTTTTTTGCTGATCCTCCGCTTCATCCTCACCCCCTGTTCATGGGCAACGTCAGGGGGGGATCGGATCAGGGGGGGTGCATCGACCCCCAGTCGCCCATTCCATGCCGCTGGGGGCCCGACCTCCCACTCGGCCCAGGACGCAGACGCAGAAGACTTCTCAGAAGGCGCGAGGGCTTCTGAGAAGCCCCGCCGCCTTCTGAGAAGGCCTTCTCCTTCTCACTCCCCCCCCTCGCTCGCCGCCGAATCGATGCGCCCCCCCCCCCTGACCCAGACCCTCCCCACCCTAACGTTTCCCCCCCGCCATCTGTCCCCCGAGCCGCTGCGTCCCAGACGGGGGCCCGCCCACAAGCGGCCCGGGCCCCGCAGCGCGCCGGGAGCGCACCGCCGTTTTGTTCAGCGCCGAGGATGGAGGAAGACAGATCGCCACGAGCCGAAACCTGTGGCGCTCCGCGCGCATTTCTTGGATCCGCGCTGGGCCCAGGCGCCGCCCCTGGCGCACTCCGCGCGCCTGCGGGGGGGGTTCCGGCGCACCAAGAGATCCGCGCGGAGCGCCAACAGTTGACGTCTGTTCCTTTTCTCCTCTTCATCTTCGAAGGCCGCCAGATGCTCTGGAGTCGCTCTGGAGCTATCAGGACGTATCCTGAGCAAGGCGCGCTGTGACATCATTGCCGTCCCACCCGGGGAAGAAAACATAGCAGCATAAACATACATGTTCGGAGGTCCGCGCAGATGTTTTGGGCTTGGGCCGGCGCTAGGCCCCAGGCCAGGCCCTGGCCAGAGGAACAACACAAAATCACAGGCCGCCGTTGCAGCCACCAGTCCACTCCTAGGGCCTCCCGGCGTTGCTCCGCCCAGGTTCTGGGCGCTCCAGGAAGAGGGGCCTGGCCTTCGAGGTGGTCGGCGTTCATAAGCAGCTGCCGCTCATCCTCCCGCCTCCTTCCTCCTCCTCCTCCTCCTCCTAGTTCTCCCTCCTACTCCTCCTTCCTCCTCCTCCTAGTTCTCCCTCCTCCTCCTCCTCTTTCCTCCTCCTCCTTCCTCCTCCTTCTAGTTCTCCCTCCTCCCCCTCCTCCCTCCTCCTCCTCCTCCTCCTCCTCGTCCTCCTTCTCCTCCTTTCTCCTCCTTCCTCCTCCGTGAGAGGCCCAGGCAATGGCAGAATGTTGGCCACGCTGCTGGGACACATTTTTTTTGTGTGCGTGTGCGGAGCCGGGCGGATCCTGGCACGCGGCCAGGGCGGCCGCGAAAAGAAGCAAGCATCGAGGGTCGAAGGAGTTGGCATCTCTGCGTCGGCCGAAGGTGGCGGAAGGCAGGCGGCAGTAGAACGAGGGCGGCTCCGCCAGCGGAAACCAGCGGAAGTACCATTCGCCTGCCCAAGAGGTGCCACCCTTTTCGGTTCAGGATTCTCGGGTTGGAGGCTCGCGCCGCATCGCCGACGAATCGGCGATGCCGCGCGATCCGAAGCACGATCATCCCCATCTTGGCTTCGTTGACGCATCGCCGATGCAACGGCGATGCGGCGCGATCTTCCGACCCTGTCTTTTCGGGGCCCCATTCGGGTGGACCACAGTTCAGTTTCGAAAGAATAGAGACGGCCACTTTTTCTAAATGCGGCCAGTTGGCCAGACGGCGTATGGTTTCTAGTCTAGTTGTGCCTTTTGAGGCCAGTGTAGGGCCTGGGACCAGAAACGTTGCACAGGATGAGAAGCCTCCCTCAAGGATGGGGGTCAGAGGCTCAGGGGTCCATGTTACGAGCAAACATGTCGTTGTGCGTCTGGGTCTCTCCCCCCTCTCCGTTCCTCTCTCTGGAGCCCTCTTCGAGCGCTCAAGACCGCTTCAGAACGACTGCATCGCCCGATACATCTTCTGAACCAGTCTGCCTTCGCAGATTCCCGAGTTTCCGCCCCCGATTTGTCCGTTCGAGTTCTGCCCTCGTCTGACCCCTTCGCCTGCCCCCCGAGCGCGCGGGGGTGAAGGAGGAGGAGGAGGAGGGACGCAGGAAGATGCAGAGGGTGGTGGAGGAGGGTGGAGAGGGGAGGAGGAAAAGGTTGGAGGGAGGGAGGAAGGTGGGATGAGAGAGAGAGAGAGAGAGGAGGTGGTAGAGAAGCCGTATCTTGGCACGCATGCAACTTTAAGCAGGAAGGTGGTGTTAATTGTAGTCGTGTGGTACTGGTAGTAGTAGTAGTAGTAGTAGTAGTAGTAGTAGTAGTAGTAGTAGTAGTAGTAGTAGTAGTAGTAGTAGTAGTAGTAGTAGTAGTAGCAGTAGTAGTAGTAGCAGTATTAGCAGTAGTAGCAGTAGTAGCAGTAGTAGCAGTAGTATCAGTAGTAGTAGTAGTAGTAGTAGTAGTAGTAGTAGTAGTAGTAGTAGTAGTAGTAGTAGTCGTTGTAGTCGTAGTAGTCGTAGATAGTAGTAGTAGTGTAGTAGTAGTAGTAGTGTTAGTAGTAGTAGTTGTAGTTGTAGTCGTTAGTAGTAGGAGTAGAAGTAGTAGTAGTAGTAGTAGTTGGTCGTAGTCGTGTCGTAGTCGTAGTCTGTCGTAGTCGTAGTGGTAGTAGCAGTTGCAGTAGTAGTTGTAGTTTGTTGTAGTAGTAGTAGGAGCGAGGGAGGAGGAGGAGGAGGAGGAGGAGGTGGAGAGGAGTTAGTAGTAGTAGTAGTTGGTGGTGGTGGTGGTAAGGTGGTGGTGGTGGTGTGGTGGTGGGGTGGTGGGTGGTTGTGGTGGTGGTTGGTGGTGCGTGGTGGTAGTTAGTTAGTAGTAGTAGTAGTGGTAGCAGTCGTCATAGTAGCAGTAGTAGTAGTAGTAGTAGTAGTTGTAGTAGTAGCGTTAGTAGTGTATAAGTAGTAGGTAGTTGTAGTAGTGGTAGTTAGTCTGTAGTTGTTAGATTAGGTGAGTAGAGTATTAGTGCACCAGCAGTAGTAGTTAGTGTAGTTGTAGTAGTAGAGTAGTTAATATCAGTAGTTTATGCGCCAATCGTAGTGATCGTAGTAGTAGAAGTAGTAGTAGTAGTAGTAGTAGTAGTAGTAGCAGTAGTAGTAGTCGTCTTCGTCCTAGTAGTAGTAGTAGTAGTTGTAGTAGTAGTAGTAGTAGTAGTAGTAGCAGTCGTAGTAATACTAGTAATAGTAGTAGTCGTACTAGTCGTCGTGGTAGTAGTAGTAGTAGTAGTAGTAGAAGTAGTAGTAGTAGAAGAAGTAGTAGTAGTAGTAGTAGTAGTCGTAGTAGTAGTCGTAGTAGTCGTAGTAGTAGTGTAGTAGTAGCAGTAGTAGTAGTAGTAGTAGTAGTAGTAGTCGTAGTAGTCGTTGTCGTAGTCGTAGTCGTAGTCGTAGTCGTAGTGATAGTAGAAGTCGTTTTCGTAGTCGTTGTAGTTGTAGTAGCGGTCGTATTTGTATTAGTATTAGGAGTATGAGCAGTAGTATTCGTAGTAGTAGCAGTAGTAGTAGTGGCAGCAGTAGTAGTAATAGTAGTAATAGTAGTAGTAATAGTAGTAGTAGTAGTAGTAGTAGTGGTAGTAGTAGTCGTAGTCGTAGTGGTAGTAGTAGTAGTAGTAGTAGTAGTAGTAGTAGCAGTAGTAGTCGTAATAGTAGTAATAGTAGTAATAGTAGTAATAGTAGTAATAGTAGTAATAGTAGTAGTAGCAGCAGCAGTGGTAGCAGTAGTCGTGGTAGTAGTAGTAGTAGTAGTAGTAGTAGTAGTAGTAGTGGCAGTCGTCGTAGTAGTAGTGGTAGCCGTAGTAGTAGTAGTAGTAGTAGTAGTAGTAGTAGTAGTAGTAGACTCACCTCCAAATAGTCGTAGTAGTAGCAGTCGTGAGTCTAGTCTAGGTAGTAGGTACGTAGATAGTAGTAGTAGTAGTAGTATAGTTAGTAGTAGTTAGTAGTAGTAGTAGCCTTTTCGCAGTAGTAAGTAGTAGTAGTAGTAGTAGTAGTCGTAGTAGCCGTCTAGTAGTAGTAGTCAGTAGTAGTAGTCAGCAGCCAGTAGCAGTGGTAGCAGATTAGTAGTAGCAGTAGTCAGTGGTAGTAGCAGTTAGTCGTAGTAGTAGTATAGTAAGTAGTAGTAGCACAGTTGCAGTAGTAGTCAGTAGTAGGTAGTAGTAGTAGTAGTAGTAGTAGTAGCAGTCGCAGTTCGCACGTCGTAGTAGTATAGTAGTAGTAGTAGTAGATAGTCGTAGTTAGTCGCAGCAGCAGAGCAGTAGTAGTAGTAGTCGTCGTAGTAGTAGTAGTAGTAGCAGTAGTAGTCGTAGGTCGTCAGTAGTAGTCGTAGCAGTAGTAGTAGTAGTAGTAGTAGTAGTCGTAGTAGTAGTAGTAGTAGTAGTAGTAGTAGTAGTAGTAGTAGTAGTAGTAATAAGAGTAGTAGTGGTAGTCGTAGTAGTAGTAGTAGTAGTAGTAGTAGTAGTAGTAGTAGTAGTAGTAGTAAGAGTAGTAGTAGTAGTGGTAGTAGTAGTAGTAGTCGTAGTAGTAGTAGTAGTAGTAGTAGTAGTAGTAGTAGTAGTAGTAGTAATAGTAGTAGTAGCAGTAGTAGTAGCAGTCGTAGTAGTAGTACTAGTGGTAGTAACAGTAATAGTAATAGAGGTAGTAGTAGTAGTCGTAGTCGTAGACGCAGTCGTAATAGCAGTAGCAGTAGTAGTAGTAGTAGTAGTAGTAGCAGCAGTAGTAGTAGTAGTAGTAGTAGTAGTTGTTGTAGTAGTACTCGTACTAGTAGTGGTGGTAGTCGTCGTCGTCGTCGTCGTAGTAGTAGTAGTAGTAGTAGTAGTAGTAGAAGAAGTAGTGGTAGTAGTGGTCGCAGTAGTAGTAGTAGCAGTTGTAGTCGTAGCAGTAGTAGTAGTGGTAGTAGTAGTGGTAGTCGTTGAAGGCGTAGTCGTAGTCGCAGGTGGGGTAGTCCTAGCAGTAGCAGAAGTAGTAGTAGTAATAGTAGTAGCAGTAGAAGTAGTAGTAGTAGTAGTAGTAGTAGTAGTAGTCGTAGTAGTAGTAGTAGTAGTAGTAGTAGTAGTAGTAGTAGTAGTAGTAGGGGTAGTAGTAGTAGTAGTAGTAGTCGTAGTAGTCGTACTAGTAAGTAGCAAGTAGTAAGTAGTAGTAGTACAGTAGTAGTAGTAGTAGTAGTAGTAGTCGTAGTAGTAGTAGTAGTAGTAGTAGTAGTAGTAGTAGTAGTAGTAGTATAGTAGTAGGTAGTAGTAGTCAGTAGTATCGTAGTAGAGAGTGGGCGTATTGAGTCGTAGAATATAATAGTCGTCGTCGTAGTAGCAGTAGTAGTAGTAGTGGTCGTAGTGTGGTATTAGTAGTAGTAGTAGTTAGTAGTAGTAGTGCGTAGTAGTGGTAGTAGTAGTCGTCGTGGTAGTAGTAGTAGTAGTAGTAAGAGTAGTAGCAGTAGCAGTGAGTAGTAGTAAATGGACAGTAGTTATAGTAGTAGTGGTGTAGTTAGTAGTACGTAGTCTAATTTAGTCGTGTCGCGGTCGTATTCGTAATCCTAGTTGTCGGTGTCGTGCCGTCGTAGTGGTAAGTAGTAGCATAGTAAGTAGTAGTAGTAGTAGTAGTAGTAGTAGTAGTAGCAGTAGTAGTAGTAGTAGTAGTAGTAGTAGTAGTAGTAGTAATAGTCGTAGTAGTAGTAGTAGTAGTAGTAGTAGTAGTAGGAAACATGTGTAGTCGTTTTCGCAGTCGTAGTAGTAGTCGTCGTCGTCGTAGTAGTAGTAGTAGTAGTAGTAGTAGTGGTAGTAGTAGTGGTA